ATAATAATAATAATAATAATAATAATAATAATAATAATAATAATAATGTGCATCTCTTTGCTACCCAAGGTTGATTTCTCTGCTTTAAAGTGTCCAGATTGCTTGCTTAACTAGCAATCTTGTCAGATTTTATTTTATTTAGTATATGGCATCTACAGAGATCATGCAATCACAGATATACAACGCATTATACATACAGACACAAATATACTTGTCAGAATATTCAGCTATCAATTGCAGATCTACTTTTATGAAATCTTAACTAAAATTACTTCCTGGATTCTCTTCTTCAATGCTCCTTCATTGAAAATGCTTTGATCATGTAATAGGGATTAGGACACTAAACCAGTAATTTCCCAACCCATATTCCACATACATACATTTCAACTACTCAAATAGCATGGTGATTACTAAACTTAGAATCTGCCAAGTGTAGAAAAGATTGCCCTAATCACGATTTTACATTACATCAGTTACAACATTCTCTGGATGGTAACCCTGCATCATAAGCATCTAAAGGGCTACTAAAAGACTGAATGGAAAACAGGACTTTATAACCATCAAGGACTACAGTACTTATGTGTTGTGCTATAAATACATATATTTAAAACATATATTCTAAAAAAGGAAATGCATCTACATATTTTCAAGTCAAGTACTTACTCATGTGGGAAAAGGTAGATGAAGCCATGTAAGAAGGGGTCCTCTTGGACAAATTCATCTCAGAAAAAGCAGCATAATGAGGATGTAATGAAACAAAGTGTGACATAGATGGATAGAGCTGGTGTGGAGAATGAGGCAACTGTTGGGAGGGCCAAGAAAAAGCCTGGATAAAGGACCCAGGTGGGCTGGTCACCACAGGTAAATGTGAAATGGGCACTGCTTCTAAATAGGAGAAAAAAGATTGATCTTTTCTCTTTGGCTGCGTCCTAGAGGAGCTTAGAGGAATTCGTGTAACTAAACAATCTTCATGTCGGCCATTCAGACCCGACTGAGGTACATTTGCTGAGGTGTTTTGGACCACTGCATCTGTAGGCCCCTGGAGTCTGCCATTCTGGGCAGCAATCACAGGAAGGACTACTGGAATATGGGGCTGCAGGATCAGCCCCTTCTGTATAGGGGATGTAAAGGTCAGAGGAGGAGAAGCAGCCTGAGGAGAATATGACAGGGAAGAACGTCTTATGGACTGATGAGGGGAAGCAGAGGCAAGAGGTGGAGACAAAGAGATTTCCTTGGTGCTTCGTGTAACAGTTCTGTAACCTGGCCAAGTTGGTGGAAAGGAAGGGCCAGGAGATGGTGGGAATTCAGAGGGAGAATATTGATGGCTACGCAGAGGGGATTCCCGGAACCTATGAGCAGATCTGAAAGAGGCCTTGCTAGCAGATTCAGGGAGAGCAGATGCTGATGAGATTGCTTTGGCATAAGGAGGAGGAGGAGGAACAACCGCACCAGTGGAAGCAGAAGCATTGTAGTTACTGTAGTCAGGAGGAGGAGACTGGCAGTGAAAAGGGGGAGAAGACACTTTAATCTGAATGGTGGAGACTATAAAGAACAGAAAAGGGAAAAAGAATAATATGGGTTGGCACTGAGGAATGACAGAAAGCATCATGGTTAGAAGACAGGGGGAAAAGGGAATGAAACAAAAAATAAATCAAAATGATCCCAATGCTTAATAGTTAAAAAAGATTAGTGAAGATACAGGTATCATGGTTATTCAGAGGAAGCCAGAAAAGCTGCTAATTTGTTTAGTTTAGAGCCAACAGAAGACATAGCACTGAACTGCCTTGGGATTAGCAGACTTTTACATTTACAACCAATTTTATTAAAGACCCACTTTCAAGACCCTACCAGTCTAACATATACTCTTATTTGTCAAATTTGTTTCTATTTATTGTATTTACATCCCACTTCTTTATATTGTGCTTCCTTCCTTATATTGTACTTTTGTCCTTCTTCATTTAGTTTACAGGGTGGTCCCATGTGATCTTTTCCCAATATTAATTACATCTACATCTGTTTTGCAGTAGTATTGCTAAAGTACCCAATGAAGTTGATTGGGCCAAAGCAATCATTAATTTATGCTGTTATTTACTAGAAGCCACAATGGCTGGAAATTCTGGCAGCTATTTCCAACATACCTATTATCTCTATGGGGAAGACTAACCTGGAGTGCCCCTATGATCTCAGTGATGGAATTCTATGCCCCATGTGGATTATCTCTTAACTACAGATGATACCCCTTCTATTCAGAGAAGCAACAATTCACAAACAATTATGTTTAGGCATACTACAAACTATGTTGCACCAAGTTAAAGTTCTTTTGCATGCTGTTCAATTTTTGGGCTACTGCATCTGAGTAGTTGCCACATCTATACAGTTATATCCCACGTACTTCAATAACAAATCTATTGTAGAAACCAAGTAAGGGAGGACTAATATATATATAGCTGACTAATCTCAGTCCATTCCCATGCCGGAGAGGTATTTCTATAGAGTGTGAATGCACCTTCATTCTTCCCATAAGACCTCCTAAATTATATAATTTTGGGACCATGGACAATGTGGGAAGCAGCAGACTGGTACAGTCATAGAAAAACTAATTTTTAATTTAGAATAACCTGTTGTTTTGTGAGAAAGACAAAAGAATGATCGCGATGACACTATAAAATTAAGAGTATTTTCAGACATACAAAAATAAGAATCGTGGAGTACAAAGTGAACTCTCTCTTGTTATTTATGCTATGTTTCCATGCTGATAAAGATATGCTAGAATGTGAGAATGTAATCATTATGAACTTTCTATTTGCACTGGGGTAATTTCAAGCAAAATTGATTTAATTCCTATCAGTAAAAATACCCTAAAGAAAATTAGAAATAATAATAATAAACTACCACATACTGCATTGCATTTCAATGCAAAAACACCCCTGTATGCATTACGTATGAACTTCAATAACTGAAACCACAGAATAATTGTAGCAACAGATGAGAAGCCAAACTTTTTCAATAAAAGCACAAGGAACAGCCAGAAGTTAATAGGGAAAATCAGGGGGGAAAAGTAATCTTGCTTGAGTTCCAAAAGCATGACACATGCCTGTGGTAGAGGTTCTTCTTTCCAGGGATTCTTGGCGTTGCTGCTGTTGCTGCTCCATTGCTTGCCTATAATAAAAGGGTTTAAAAAGAATCCAGCTTTAGTTCCCCAAATGCATTTGAGAATCTGCTTAATACAAGGAGGGTCCAATTGGGGATTTTTTTAAAAAAACAAATCTCTGTGTAGTCATTGGACAATAAAGAAAATTTGATTTCTATTCAATTATCCAGCTCAAACGAAGCTAGATTTCTGAAAAATATTAGTTATCCGAAGAAGGATGCAAGACACTTCTTTTCATGGTTTGTTTAGTATTTTTCTAAATCAGATCTCTAATTTGTATATCGCTTGGCAAACCAGAATTTTTTAAATTCTATTTTTATTTTATTTTTAAAAAGTTAAAATACAAAAAACAAACACAAAACTTTATTGTTTTTCTTTAAGAAAAAAGCCCCTCCCCAAAATCTACTGTGTACAATCAAGACATTAAAAACTTCATTAAAAAATAATACATACACACATATTATCCTCCCTAGTTGAATAGCAATAGCTATTTAAATTTATGTATTGCTTCACAGTGCTTTACAATCCTCTAAGCGGTCTTACAGAGTCAGCATCTTGCCCCCAACAATCTGGGTTCTCATTTTGCCAACCTTGGAAGGATGGAAGGCTGAGTCAACCTTGAGCTGGTGAGGATTGAACCCCTGGCAATCAGCAGAATTAGCCTGTAATACTTCATTCTAGCCACTGCACCATCATGGATCAATACATTACAACAATATTAATCTAATATTATTAATAGACAAGCCAGGTTTATAAGCCAAAACTTATGATCTTGGCTTGCTAAAAGAAAAACATCCCTAGAGTCCATCTCTGATGGAAGAAGTCTTAAGAATATTTTTAACTCAGGCCTTCTTCCCAATCGTAAGAACAGGGGTGATCAAGCAGCATGTATCAGCATACCTATTCATGATAAACTAGAAACCTGAATTATACTTGCCCGCTGCAATGTTAGTAGTGATTCAATGTCTATTCAGTAATAGATGAGGTTAGAGTTCATCAAGAAGCATTACACATGTACGGAGTGGAAAACTGTCTTCATTGAAGATATATATTGTGGAGTCTATGTTTTTAGCCATGGCCTGGCTATGAGATCTTATGGTAATTGCCCATGACTGTTCCTTCAACACCAATTCCAAATCACCACCACCAGGGCTATGAAATAATAATTATATTTATTGCAAGGACTGTTTTAGCCAGAGGAAGACAAAGTATCATCTCCGTCTAGCAAAAGTCACTCCAGAAAGAGTGTACATTCACACTACATGTGTGTTCTCATATGTTCTTACATGTTCTCACGAGATGGAAATATTCTTTTGCCGTGTGCCAATCGCTTGGCTCCTGTTGTAGTGGTGTGCTGGAAAGGTTAAGAGGATAGGAAGGAATGAAGGTCTGCCACCACCCAGGTGGGAAACTATGGAATATTCTTTATATACACGGTTATATCTCACACTTCCCCCACCCCACCTTCTGGAATTCCTTCCCCTCCCCAAAATCCTGTGGAAAAACTTCCACAAATAGAAATGCAAAAAAAAAAAAAAAAGTGTAGGAGATGAGAAACAGCAGCAATTTATTTTTATTCCATTTATGAAGGAGGAGAGGGGATTATTATTATTTATTATTAGTATGGCATAGAACTGGTGAAATTGGGAGAATGCTCAGATACAATTTGGCTTGAAAGGATAGAAAATGAACACTGATCGGATGGCAGTTCTATGTGCTCAACTATTGTCCAAAAGGGCAAACAATAATTTGCTGAGAAGCTTTGAGAGCTCTAGACATGCAAATATAGAAACACAACTACTCTTTTAACACATTGATGCTTAAATATTTCTGCAAATAATCAAGGCATACTTGATCAGTATTGCAGGATCACAGCACTGCTAAACACAGCCATCTCCCTTCAGCTGCTCTGATACGATACACAAAATTAAAAAAGACACTTCAATTTTCAACCTTGCATCCTCAACCCCTTGTGGTAACTTGGTTCATTGGAAAAGAAAGTTAAGTGTGCATTCAACTGTTTTCAATAAGACAGTGATTCAGGGATATGCTAACTTCACTACAAATACCAAATGTTTACTGACAGCTAATTTTATATTAGCTATTTTAAATTGCTACATATTTAAATTGCTACAAAATCACCTTTGTCTCTAACAGGCCCACCAGTTCTGGTAGCAAGGTCATGCTCTACATCCTATCAATTGAAGAGTCCGACCTGGTGAGTCCCAGAAAGCATGGCTCCCTGTAGCAGGACTTGCTATTTGGAATACTGTTCTTCCTACCATCGTACTAGCTCCAATTTGGTCGGCTTTCTGCAAAGCCCTTAAGACCTGATTGTTCTTTGAGATGTGGGGTTGAGAATTGGCAATCTTGTGAGTTGTGTGAATTTATCCTCTGGCTGATTAGTTTGTTTGGCTGTTGTGGGTATTTCCATCCCTAGAGGTTTTAAGAAGAGGTCGGACTGCCTGTTTGTCTGATATGGTATAGAGCAGTGGTGGCAAACCTTTTCAAACACCAAGTGCTGAAATGGGAATGTACATGCTGGAAACCGGAAGCTCAGCTCCCCGGCACGCACATGTGTGCTGGCCATCTGGTCTTCCAGTTTCTAATGTGCATGTGCGTGTGAAGACCAGCTGGCCAGCGCATGCATGCACACTGGGGAACTGGTCTTCCGGTTTCTGGCACTCCCGTGCACACAAAGAACAGCTGGCCAGCACCAGAAGCCAGAAAACCAACGGGCAATGGCCGAAGAGGTGGCTCTGCGTGCCACTTCTGGCACATGTGCCATAGGTTTACCCTCACGGGTATAGAGTCTCTGCTTGGGCAGGGAGCTGGACTAGAAGACCTTCAAAGTCCTCTTCAATTCTGTAAGTCTGGTTATTTCTGGTTGGTTTTTAATATTTAATACATTCTCATTGTGTTACCTGCCCAGAGTTGCTTTATGTGAGATAGATGGCCCAATAAATCTAGTAACTAAATGCATACATGGAGTGCTATCAGTCTTTCTAGCTTAGGAGCAATATGGCTATGGCAGAAAATCATCTTTTAAAAATTTTCTAGTAGGGTTTTCCACCTATAGATTTTTTTTTAGTAATTCTAGTGAACTTGTATTAGTTTCTTACATAGCCAAGATTGTGTGCTATGATTTTATATCAAATATAATAATCCTTGTAAAAATGATCGACAAATCTCAACTATTTGGAATTACTTTCAGCAAAATAGTACAATTTGAATTTTAAAAAATAATGTAAGCCATTATCTTCCCCATAATCCAAATATTTCATCTTGGTTGCAAGCTAGCACATCAAGATATCTTACGTGGAATCTCATTTGTCCCTCAGAAGTTTGATGGCCAACTTCTCAAATTCTATTAACTGTAAATCATCTTCACTCAAGGATAGAAAGTGATATAGGTAGTCCTTGAATTATGACAGTAATTGGGACCAGAATTTTCATTGCTGAGAAATGCAATCATAAAAACGCAATGTTGTATGGCAGCATTACTTAGTGACAGCAGCCTTGGCATTCCCCATTACCATAGTTAATAAAATTCTAGTCCAGGACACCCCCTTCCCAAATCCAAGCCATTCTGGGCTTGGTCTCTCCAAGCCCCATGCTTTGGTTCTTCTAAGATTAGAGATAACCTTCTCTTCAGTTCCCCGCTCCCCATTTCTGCCTGTTTAGCCAATCTGCCTGTTGCCTATGGGGTGATAAGCAGCTCCAGAAGTGTGCGGCTCTGAGGCTACCATACTGCAGTTCATTGGCTTCTTGCAGTTTGCCTTAGTGGGTGAAGGGACACTGTCTTGCTTCTCCTTCCTTAGGGGAGAATTTCGATTGATGGTGATGCTGGTGAAGACCTAAAGTCCTATGGCCCTTTGTTGTGGGTGTCCCAGACTCTCTTGTTCTTTCTATTTATCATCTGCAACAACTCCTGGGAGAGGTCATCAATCAACATAGGTTGATA